CTTTTAGTCAATAGTCCTACCAAAATCCCTCTTTGCTAACATTTTTGCGCCAAATTCTCGTTTTTCAGTGATTTAGTTTTTTCGTCCACTCTCAACAAACACATTACACTTTGAAAGAGTTTATATTTTATATTTACTAACGAAGATTTGCCGCTCTCTCTCGCGCCATTCGCAGCAAAAATTTTTTGTTTGTTCGATCAGTGACTTATATTGCTGTAAAGTTTGACTTTAAGATTTGGCGCCGCCTCGATGAGTAAATGAGGGAAAAGCAGAAAAAAATGAAAAAGATGTATTAAATAAATGAGGAAAGGGAGATTTTATTTTGCAAAAAATTGTGTAAAGATAAACAAATAATTGGTTTTTATTTAGAAAAATTTTCATAGTGGAACATTAATTAGAATGAGCGTTCGCTATTTCAGTGTTATATCAGCCGTCTTTTCTACAATAAAAAAGTGCCAGAATTTTTACCGACTATTTGTTTTATGAAAAGTATTAATCGAAATAATGGAAAATGATTTTGGTAGAAGCCTTAGGAATTAGCCAATGGGTTGTTGTTATATATCAGTTAATGTCTTATCCCTTGTTCTGCAAAAATTTTTAATTTGAATTTTAGTGAATCTCCTTTTAAGTGAATTGAAGTTTCGGTGAAATGTCCTCATATATATTTTTACTCTTACAATAAAATTAATGTCAATCTTTAAATGAAAGAATTTATTTTTGGAATATTTTTAATATTTATTAATAGATCATTTGACGTTAAATTATGTTTATTAAATAACGTTCAATTTCCGAGAGGATTTTCTCTTTTTTAGATGACAATTTGTTGATGTCAATAAATCGGCTTTTACAAGGATATAAATAAATTTCTCAAAATATTATTTTCTTTTTGGGATATTAAACTATAAATAATAAGCTAAAAGAAGATTCAAACACGAGTGTAAATAGTAGAACGTCATAAAAGCTAAAAATTGAATGAATTGTATGAATGTCTAGAAGATCTTGAAGGAATTTTTGGACTAAAAGAATCTGGGGTATAAAAGAACCCCCCAATTGGGATGAATTTTAATGGATTTAATTTTTAGAGTTTAAAAGACTTCAGTAGAAATAAAGAAAATGAAAATTGTTTTATTCACTTCCTACCGGCTTTCTCTACATATTCCCATACTAAGAATTACCTTCTCTCCATTTGTATGTTGATCGGAGTATATAAAAATTATAAAAAAATCTACTTATGTATGTATTAACTAAAAAAGAATTATAAACGAGGGAAAATGACCACCATAAATACATACAAAAGAAGTGTTGAATGATCCCCTCTCTTTTATAAAGCAGGAAGATATACATAAATGAGGGAATAACCTTCCTTTTTAACTTAATCCCCCTCCTCTCAATTTATTTCAACAATACATTTTAAGTATCGTCAAAAATCTAAATATATTATTTAAAATTTCATTCAAAATTTTAAAAATCGGACCAACATTCCGAGTGTGATTATAAAAAATTGTTCTTCATTTAATAAATTTTCTGTGAATAATTGGCTAAAAAGCTCCCTCGAAATTCTTTGATATTTGCCAGGCAAAATTAAACAATCCTTTCAAAATTTAAATTACCCTTTAAAAATATTTGAAAGAATAATTTGAATTTTTAAATTTATTTTATTTATTGGTGTTAGATTATTTGCGGCACCTTTTTTATTGCAGCAATTAATTTTAAATTTATTGAGTAAATTAAATTGGAATTTTAAGTATAATTTTGTTTAAATTTTATATGTTTTTCTAAATTATTCTAACATTTAAAAATTATTCTAAACAATCTCAGTAGGCTTTAGGAAAGCTGATTAAATTTGAATAATAATTTTAAGTTAATATTCAAATAAAGTAAGGGGAAGAGAACTCAAAATACAGACAAATCTCTTTAATTATTCTAAACAATTTCTGCTTCCTGCTCTCACTGTACCAACATTTGAGTTGGACAATCACTTGGCTTCGAGCATTAACAACAAAATCCTTGTTGTGTTTCCCAATATCCTCGATTGTTTGTGCTGAGGTGTTCAATTCTGTTGCGAGTTCCTCGTCCTTTTCGGCAAAGTTACTAGCTATTACCTAAAATTTAAAAACGGGAATTGATCGAAGTATCGTTTCGTAGAAGCGTATCGTTTCGTAGAAGTTCGTAGAAGCCAACAATTGGACATGTCTGCGCTCCTACCCATTGGTCGCAAATGACCCTGCTCGTTCGGCTCAACGCTTGAAGAGGACTGCCTTCATCTTCCAGTTCGTTTATTTACTTTTTTAAAGCTAATCCCTAATCTTGTTTTTTTACTGATTTTTAGGTGTAGGGTCGCAGGTTGTGGCGCCTTCTCAAGCTGATCAAGACTGTGCGTGTGAAAGATGAAGGCTTCATTGCTGCTGTCCTCTTCCTGTCAGTCGCTGAGCACCGGAATCACGTTCGACGCTCGATCAGCCAGATCAACAACTTCTTGCAGGGAGTGCAGGGCTGAGGAACCAGTGCTGGCAGAAGAAGAGAGGATTGGATAGGAAGGATATAGGCTTGTGATTCTTGTGATTTTTCCCTCCTGTTTGTAATTTCCCCCATTGTTCTATAATGTAATTGTATTTCTGTTTTGTAAATAAATAATTGTTGAAAGGATTGGACAAAGCTTAGGGTTTTTAAGAAAAATTTTTCTTCTCTCTTCGCGTTGTCATCTTTGCCCTTCCCTTAAAATGAACTTTTGTTCAAAAAATTTTTCCTCCTTCTTTCAAAGTCCAAAAAAACCTTGGAAAGGTAAAAAGCGAAAAAACAAAAAATTCCTTTCTCTCAATCATTTTCTACTCCAATAAACTGAAAGGAGGAAAGAAAGAACTGAAAGGAGATAAGGAAAAGAGAGGATAAAGCAAGAGGAATGTTAATTCATTAATTTGAATATCCAAAAATAATTTCTGGTGAAATAGAAAAAATACTACAAACTTTAAAAAATTGTCAACCTTCTATTAAATTTTAAAAATCACGACTTTAAAATTTTATTTGGAAAAAAGTCGGTGCTAATAATGGAGTAGAAAAGATTACATGAATCTCTTAAATCACTCCTTTCTTAAAACAAATATGGAAAGAAAAAATAAAGGAAAAAAGAAAGGAAAGATCTCAAAGGAGAAAATAAAAATAATCAAAGTTTGGATAGACGAAAATAATTAGTGAAATAAAAATAAAAACTTTAAATTAAAACTTGTCAACACTTTTCTTTTAAAAATTTAAACAATAATTACAACTTTTACCTTTTATACTGGAAAATCTTTAATAATTTATTTATATTTTCCGGAAAGGATAGTAGTAGAAAAGTTTATTATATTAACTTTCCGGAAAGTTTGTTCTATTTATTTTACGGAAAGTTTATTATATTCTTTCCGGAAAGTTTTCAAACATAATTTTAAAAATTCTTTTTATTGATGAAAAAGTTTAAAATACCCGTAAAGTTTATTTCCAGAAAGTTTTTATTTCCATTAAGATTAAATAACATTTTTGCCTCAATCATAAAGTTTTACAAACTTGAAAAAAATTAATTCAGAATGGGCAATGTAAAAGCCATCACATAGAAATAAATAATCTCTCCCAACTTCCGGAAAGTTTATTTCTATAGAGAAACACAAGGAGAATTTTGTTGTTAATGTATGGAGCGAGTAATTTAGAGCCAACCGAAATGTTGATATAGTGTGAGTAGGCGAGAGAGCCTCTTCCATTTCCTTTTCCAAATAAACTTCCAGTTCACAAAAAGGAGGGGACTTAAAAAATTAAATAAATAAACAAAATCGGAAGGAAACTAGAAATTTAAAAAATAATTTTCGACAAAATCTTATTTAGAAAACTCAACAGCTTTTTTTAAATTTCTATAAATCAAAAATATTTTCATGTAAAAATAATTCTTAAAGACATTTAAATTTCACATAAATTTAGTAAATTTAAAATATAAGCTTGACTTTTTCTTTTATTTTTATTCAAGAATAAAAAAGACAATGAAATGATGGACTCATTGCCTTAAAAAATGTAATTTGCATAGTTATTCAGCGCTAATAATGGAGGAGAAAATATTATCTATGTACATTAATCCTTTTCTCCAAAAAATATACATAGAAAGGAAAAAAGTATAAATCAAAATTTGACAATAATGATTAGTGAATTTAATTGACAAAATGATTAGTGAAAAATTAAAATTTTTAAATGAAGTCAACACTTTTGACTAAAAACAATAATTACAACTTTTACTCTTTTTACTGAAAAAAGTTTAATAATTTATTTATGTTTACCGTAAACAAATATAACAAACCTTCCGGAAAGTTTATTATATTTGTTTTCCGGAAAGTTTTGTATTTTATTTTCAGGAAAGTTTAATATATTTATTTTCCGGAAGGGTTGCTATATTCGTTTTCCGGAAAATTGTTAAAAATAGTATTCTCAAAGTTTAATCCCAGAAAGTTTTAAATAGATAAAATACATTTTTGCCTCGATCTTTCCACATAAATAAAATGTTTAGTTCCAAAAATCTAAAAAAATTAATTCAGACCGGGCAGTATAAAAGCCATAATAAAAAATCTGTATTATTCCCCCACTTCCCTAAATTATTTCTACACTACGCGCTTTTACGCGATGATGCTGTGATGATCGTTTGATGATTTTCGACGTGTATCGAGATATTTTTTACTTGATTCAGTGAATCTCGCTTACAAAAGTTCGGGTAGCAAACCGAAAGTACTGCTCAAAAAGCAAAAAAAAAAATCTAAAATCCTCATAAATTCCAATTTGACTTTAGATAATGAAAATAAAAAAGGGAATAGGAAGGTCTTTTGAACCTTGATCACGTCTTTTGGTAATGTTTTTAAATTTAATATTATAAAGAGAAAATTGAAAAAAATTTTTATTACCCAAAAGAATAAAGGAAAAAAAGATTAAATCTGTAAAACAAAACTTTACAATACAAAAGTTTTTTTGGCTTTTTGCAATTCTTTTAATCAATTAAAAATTGTCATATACTCGCATTGATCTTGTGCCAATTGCTTCCGCATTACCACCAGAGGCAACTATTAATTAAAAATTAATTTAGAATATTTAAAAGAATTTAAATTAAAAAAAACTAAAAGAGACAAAAGTTAGAAAGAAAAAACTTTAAGGAAATATTGTTTAGAAAGAAAGGAAACTAGAATCAAAAATATTGATCTTTAGAGAGTGAGATTTTCAAAAAAAAACCTTGACATTGATTTTGGCAGGGTACCTTGACCAAGATTCTTGACCTTGAGACAAGAAAAAATAAAGGTATGGATCCAGATCCAGCTCGCTCTCTATTAATCTTAACTAAAATCGGCTCTACTGAGAAATTTGCCCTTACTGATCATGAGTCTATAAACTTGTTTTCAACCATGTTTGGGGATTTTTCAAAAACTCATCTTGACAGTCAAAAAATATTTAAAACCACACCTCTTCCTCGTCCAGAAGCAGGCATTCCTCCTCCACGCCCAGGAGGCAAACCTCTTCCATTTCCTGGAGGCATTCCCCTCCCAATTCCAGGAGTTGACATTCCTCCTCCTCTTCCTCGTTCAGCAGGCATTCCCCTATCATTTGCTGACAAATCTGGTGGTTGATCATTATTCATTCCCATTTTCTTAGCCCTCTTTTTAGCAGGAAAAATGACTTCTGAAGGAACCCCTGGGCCTTCTAGCGCTAGCAGTTTTGCCATTTTATTTCCATTGATTTGTCTAAGAGAATAACGAGCACTAGCAAAAAGTTGTTGTCGTTCTAAAGGAGTTATTGATGCTAAAACATCTGTTGGCAATTTTTCACAAGGATCCAATAATTTCGATCCAGCTTTAAAAAAATAAAAAATATCTTTTGGAATCTTTGAAAATTTCTTACGTGACAAAATAATTTCTTCAGAAATTGCTTTAAACAAAGCTTTTAATGCCCCACTAGGTCCAGGCTGTTGTTCTGATGTATTCGAAGAGAAAACTTTTTCAACAATTAAAATAATTACCTAAATTAGAGTTAAAAATAATTAAAGATATTAAAAAAACAAACCCAATCACTTAAAGGACTCCAAGCTGGGATTCTATTGGAAAATTCTCTAACAATTTTTACAACTCCAGTCATCCATTCATATTGAGCACATTTAACCTAAAAAATAATTTGGATAAAAATTCTAATAAAAATTGAAATTCACCTGATAAAATTTAGTTCGTCTCATTTCAGCCAAAGCTTGAAGACAGGCGTCTTGTGGCAATGCATTTTGTGGAATATTATAAGAATAATAATTTAAATCTTAAAATTTTGTAATTAATTTAGAAAAATATTTAAAGACAAAAGAAACCTCCAGGAGACCATTGACGAATAGTAGAGCAAGTAAAAGAAACACAAATATACATAGGAATTCCTGCCTGAGATATCGAGAAACCAGCTTCTCTAACATTTTCTTCAACAGAGATTTTTCCTTTATGGGTTAAAGTTTGTTCGCCTTTCTAAAATAAATGAGAAAAAAAAATAAATGAGAGGAATTAATAAATGAGAGGAAATTAATAAATGAGAGAAAATAAAATAAATGAGAGGAATTTTTATAAAGAATATTTAAACAACCTTAACATAATGAGTAAACAGTTCAGTTACTTGACTAAGCATATCAGTTGTTGGAATTGAAGAACAGAGAACAATTAGATGGGCCTGAGTAATAAAAATATTTTATATATTTAAGTTAATAAAAATTAGGAATAAATTTTTTTAATTGAGAAAGAAAGAAAAGAATGTTTTGAACAGGGTTTGGAAATTTCAGATCTGCTCTTACTTCGTACCAGCCTATTCTTTGCTCTTACTCGTATTTCGTACCTAACATAAGTACAATTACGAATTTTGGTACGAGCTTCCAAGCATTGGCTTTGATAATTAAATAAATTCTCAATTTACTTAAATAAAAATATAAAATTTTAATATACGTCTCATTGTCAGATTCAAAAATTTATAACTTACTATTAATCCTATTAATTAATAAAATAATCAAAAAAAATTCAAAACAAACCCTTCTATCATTTTTCAACAATAAATCATTTGCCAAAAGTCCAGTTCTCATTATACCACGTAACAAACGATTTGAAGAATTTATGTTAGTTCCAGAGACAGAATTAGCAACGTGTTGTTCTTCAATGATTCGAGAAACATTAAATAAAGTATCTTCTATCAGTAAAACTAATTGTTCAATTGAGTTTTTTTGTACTTTGTTAAGGCTTATTTGATCCAATTTCTCAACCATGTGTTCATCATTTTCACTCCCAAAAGGATTAACAGTATCCACAAAAACTTCACTAAAAATTTAAAAAAATTTGAAGTAAAATAAATTGTAATAGAAAATTTTAGAAAGGACAAATATATGTAGTTAGTATAAGAACAAATTACAGACAAAATTAATTATAAGATAAAAGCACTATAAATTAGAGCAGACACAAAAGTTTTTAGCCAAAAGGCCGTTTACGAAAAAATTATAAGTACCCTAATTCCAAAAATATGAAAACTCAAAACCTATTGATCAAATGATCAGAGATTGAAAGTTGAAAAATAAAATAAACACATAAATAAAAATTATTTCAAACCTGATATCTTTCCTTTTCTTTGGACCAACATTTTTTGGAGGAACAGACTGAATACCCTCAACAACAGGAATTGGTTTATTCTCTCTAATTAATCCTTTTATCACCTTTAATGTTTAAATATTCTATTTAATTTATTATTTTAAAAACCTTTTGGTGTTTTTGTCCATTAACGTGGGTTTGATAAATTTCTTCACTAGAACAATCAACATTGCAAATGACACAACGAAAAGCATTCCTACTGTTAGTAGTAAACTTGTTTTGAGCAGCTTCGATTAAAACAGCTTGTTTACGTTTGTGAATTTTTCCAGCTAGATTTTAAAAATTGAAAAATAATTAGAATTTAGATTCCTCCCAATTGATGACCTTCGTACATTCTGGGATTTAGATATTCTCACTGACTTTCTTAAATGAGTTTTGAGGTTCCCTTCTCAATTAATATTCTTTCGAAAACAATTGTTCCATAAATTATGATTTTGAATGTAATGCTAAATTGTGGAAGGCCCTAGGAGGTAGAAGGAGGCAAGGTGGAAGGCCCATCCACCTTGGAGTGGAAGAAAGGCGAAAGGCCCTTGAGAAAGAGTGGAAGGCTCTCAAAAAAAACTCTATCCAATAGAACCCTAATTTCATTTCATAAAAAAACTCACACAAATGAGCAAAATAATTATCATATCCAGAGCACATAACATTACAAATTTCACAATGGTAGTGCTTCTGTTTTCCATCATCTTCATAATACTCCTCTTCCCCATAACCCTCATAATAATCATAATAACCATCATATCCTTGATAAGCATTGTAATCAGCTAAAGTTGGTTCCTGACTAATTCCTTGAGTACTTCCAGTATCGGAAATTGAAGGAAGAGCATTATTATAATATTGATAAGATGTTGTTGGAGAAGTATAATAAGTAGATTGATTTGTAGTAGTGGCATTTGTATTGCTGGTTGAGTTAGTAGCAGGCAATGGCGGTTGAGGTGGCGGTGGAGGCGGTTGATAAGGAAGGTAATTACCTCCTTGGTAAGTCGGATTCATTTTTTAAAATCAAAATCAATTAACAAAATTTAAATTTTCTAAAAAATTACGAACAAGAAAAGCAAAAATAAATAGCAATGTGTTAAAATAACACTTAAAAGACCAACAAAATAAAATTTTTGTATAATTTATTAATTTAAAAACACAAAAATTTTAAATTACAAAAAAGACCTCTCTCAATTTTTTCCATTGGAAACTTTCTTCATTAAATTATTCAAATCCTCTATATTCGACTTAATAGCCTGTTTATCAGCATTCATTACTTGTGTAAAATCATGCAACATATTCGGTAATGTTAACGTTGGTACACTGAAAAATTTGAGATATTTCAGGAAAATTTTTAAATTTTTAACATTTCAAGTTTAAATATTTTATACCTTATTCCGGCATGTATAGGAACAGAAACTATAGCAGAACCAGCATTAGTATTGTATAATTTTCCTTGTTGTCTATTTACTTCCAATATCAACTTCTTAAAAAAGATTTCAAAAAAAATATTTAAATTCAAAAATAACCATATTATTTTCTATATTGTCACAAACATTCATAAAACTATTTTTAGCCATATCATATTGCTCTTTTGCTGATAATTCAATTTCTTTTTTCCCGAATTCATCAGTAGCAGAACCTGACTTGACTGATCCAGGTGGAATTGCACTAACAGATTGGGGATTAACAGAAAGAGGGTTTTGGACAGAATGTGGATTGACTGAATTTGGTCCTCCGAAGCCTAAATTTGAATGAGGACCAGTTGAATGAGGCCCTCCTATGCCTAAATTTGAATGAGGTCCACCAGTTGTTGAGGCACCAATAATATTAGATCGTCTCTCCTCTGGACGCTCGCCAGTTGCTGTGGGAACACCAGTGGATTCAGAAAGGAAGTTTTCAACAACTTTTTCTGCACAAAGGTTTAAATCCTTAATTTTGAGACAGTTAAATTGTCATAAATTAAAAAACTTACAACAATAGTTCTTCTCAAATCCTTCAAAATTAACATCTTGGAAGTCGCAATCGGATCAATATCCGCTTGTACAGCAGCTGGGGGTTGTATTGAAGTTGACGGCTGTTTGCTTGGAGATGCATTTGTCGATTGAGTAACGGCCGGGGTACCAACCTGCATCTGTACTGAAGACGGTGGGCCAACAGAACCTTGAGGTACTGAACCTGAAAATAAAATGTAAACAATAATTTCAGTTAAATAACCAGGTTGATGCGTATGAAATGTTGCTGTGGTGGCAGTTGAGCCAGTTGAATGAGGCTGTGGAATTTGTTGCGGCGTGGAAGGGGTATTAGGCGCTGGAGCATCAGATAAGGGATGAGACATTTGCTGCGATTGTGGTTGGTGTTGCAATAAATGTTGACTTCCATATATTGCATGTTGTTGTCCAACATTTACATGCTGTTGAGGACTAAAAGGAACTGAACCAGCAGAACCCGGATAAGAATAAACACTGCCTAATTGAGGAGACCGTCCAGTGTTGAACACTCCTGGCTTGTCAAGAACTTGTTGTCCATGAAGGGATTGAGCAGGCGAATGCGCCGCAACATTTGGAGACATTTGTGGATGAGCAGCAAGATTTGGCCTCTAAACAGAATCGATAATGTAAAATTAAATAAATCAACAAAAAGTCTTACCACAATTCGTGCAGGTGCACCATGTTGTGAAGGATTCGTTTGTTGTTGGTTATACATATCCTAGCAAGTCTTTAAAAAACTAACTTACATTAACATGAAATAAAATAAAAATTCGAAGAAACGCATAGCTAAATTAAAATTTATTTGCAAAGTTTATTATCTATAAATCAATGACGTTCTACAAATTAACCGGCATAAATAAAAGAGATTGCCAACAATTAAAGACTAACAACTAAAATAGTGTCATTTATTAAAGCTTCTATAATTCTCAAGGCTTTCGATAATTCTGTCCAGCGTAGACAGCCTCATCTCCAAGCTCATCTTCAATGACCATGATACGATTGTACTTGGCCAAACGCTCAGAACGACAAGGAGCACCAGTTTTGATCTGTAATTGAGAATGTTGATTCGTTGTATATTTTTAATTTTTTTGAATAAAAAAAATAAAAACCTGTCCAGTAGCAAGGCCAACAACCAAATCAGCAATGAATGTATCCTCAGTTTCTCCAGAACGGTGAGAAACCATAACACCCCAGCCATTGCTACGAGCCAAAGTTGCGGCTTCGATTGATTCGGTAACTGTTCCAATTTGATTGACCTAGATATTAATTTTTTTAAAAAAACTAAATAAAAATTAAAACCTTCAAAAGAAGACAATTACACGCTTTCTTCTCAACAGCTTGCTTAATTCGCTTTGGATTTGTCACAGTCAGATCATCGCCCACTAATTGAATGTCAGTTTGCGAAAGCAGCTTACTCCAATTGTCCCAATCATCCTGATCAAAAGCATCCTCAATCGACTTGACGTTGTATTTAGCGATGAACGATTTATAAACATCTGCCAATTGGTCACCAGTTAACCACTTGGTTTGATCAGAATTCGGACTAAAACAAAAAAAAATAAATTTTTGAAAAAATAAAATTACTTTTTAAAGTCAAGGTCGTATTTCTTCGCGTCAGATTTGTAAAACTCACTAGCAGCAACATCCATACCAATTATCACCTTTAAATATAAAATGGATTAGACTGAATATGGGGACGTTCTTCTACCTTGTCAGCATGTCCACTAGCCTTAAAAGCTTCAAGGAGCAAATCCAGACCCTCATTGTTGTCAAGAATGTTCGGAGCAAATCCTCCCTCATCACCAACGGCTGTTGCATCAAGGCCATAACGTTTATGAATGACCTAACAAAAGAATAGCTAAAATAAAAACCAAATTTTAACCTTCTTCAAGTGATGATATATCTCAGAACCAATTTGCATTGCCTCCTTGAAGTTTTTAGCACCAACGGGGAGAACCATAAACTCCTGCATTGCCAGCTTATTTCCAGCATGAGAACCACCATTAATCATATTGAAAGCCGGAACAGGCAGAATGACCTGTAAAAAATAAAATCAGAACTATACAACAACTATCTAAACCTTCTGAATGCCAGCCAATTCAGCAATGTATTTGTAGAGAGGAACTCCTTTATGAACAGCGCCTGCCTTGCAAACAGCCAGTGAGACTCCCAGAATGGCGTTCGCACCAAAATTTCCTCAAAATTAAAATTTTTCTAGAGCCAAAAAGTCAAAAATACCTTTATTGTCGGTTCCGTCAAGCTCAATCAAAAACTTGTCAATAGCAGCTTGATCCGTGACATTAAAGTTCTTAGCGATGAGCGCTGGCGCTATCTTAGAATTGACGTTGTCAACAGCTTTAAGCACTCCTTTCCCATGATGAACAGTCTTGTCACCATCACGAAGCTCAAGCGCCTCATAGATGCCAGTCGAAGCTCCACTAGGAACAGCAGCTTGGAAAAGGCCTTAAAATTAAAATTTAAAAATTCGCTCAAAAAGATAGAGAACCTTTATCTGTCTCTAAGTCAACAGCAACAGTTGGATTACCACGAGAATCGTAAATATAACGAGCGTGAACACGTTTAATGCTCATTTAAAAAAAGTTTATTAATTAAAGTCTAAATTAATGAATTAATTATACGCTAACACAAGTTAAGAACGTTTGATAGACAATAATAATAGATTTAAAGTTCATTAGCAATCATAAAGATCCAAAAGCCTAGCTAAAAGAAATTTAACAAGAATTTATGTCGAGGACGAACGCGTTTAAAGTGTAACTATTCTCTGAATCAGGGAAAATTAATCAAATAACGTAAGACTAGAAAAATAACCAACAAATAAAAATACATTGAAAGCTTGCAAAATAATCAAAATCAGCCCACTAACAAAAGCAAAAAATAAACTCTCATTCCAAAATTGTTTATTTTCTCTAACCTCTCGTTTTTACTTCTTCCCTAGCAAAATAGACATTTCGCCAATATTGCAAATTTGGGCAAATTACAAATAAAGTGCAAAATGAAACATGCGAGGTCTTCTCAGAAGGGTGGCCGAACGTTTCGTCACTGAACTTTTCGTCACCGAACCTTTCGTCAAAACCTTTCGTCACTGAACCTTCCGTCACCAAACCTTTCGTCACTGAACCTTTCGTCACTATTCACCATAAAAAAGAGAATGCACATCTGGATGGACAAATTTAACAAAATAGATTTATGGAAATTAAGTTGAATAAAAGAAAGTCATATGAATGAAGATGAAATATAATAAACAAAATTAATAACTTTTTGATAAAAAACAAATAATAATAAGGATGTTAAGTGAAATAAATTTATTTTGATTTACTATTTTTACTACTATTTTTATTTTTACTAAAAAATTATTTTCATAAATTTTTTTACTCATATTGGCTAAAATGGACGTAGGTTCATCATCAGATGAGGGGCAAATTTTTTCTTCATCTTCCGAGGAGATGGAGGATTTACTCGAATTTATTGAAGTAAAATCTAAAAGAGGTTCATCTCTCTTAACTCGTGACGGCTTTGAATACCAATTTGAACGTTATTCTGCCGTGGATAATCAAGTTGAATATTGAAAATGCCCAAAAGTATGGATTATGTTTGGTTTTTATTTAAGTATTTGTTAGAGACCTCCGTACTGTCCGGGCCGTATCCATGTCGCGTCAGCATGGCATGAAGGAGACGGGAACCGTTTTAAAATCGGATGGATAAAAAATGCTAACCATTCACATAATGCTGAGCCTTACAAAAAAGAGGTGCTGAGCCTTACAAAAAAGAGGCTAATGATCCAATTGGGTACCTACGTACTGTCTCCTATCATTTAGCAACACAGTAAATATAACTAAATTACCGATTATGATCAATTTGTCATTTTTGACAACTTCTTATTTGATTTTTAAAAATAAAGTCTTGGTGACGAAATGTTCAGTGACGAAAGGTTTGGTGACGGAAGGTTCAGTGACGAAAGGTTTTGACGAAAGGTTCGGTGACGAAAAATTCAGTGACGAAACGTTAGGGAACCTCTCAGAAGTTGCCCTAATAAACACAAACAAAATCTTTTTTTTAAACGTAGAACCCTTTTATTAAATTCAATATGCAACGAATACAATCACATAAATCTATGAATTAGGACAATAATCAAAATTAAATCAGTTTATGGTATGTCATTGACATCAATCATTCTGTTACTTCTCACATCAATATGAAGATGAGTCCACTTTGCCTGCTTCCCTAATTGTTCGAGTGCTCTCTTCGCCTAAGATATTCATTTGAACAAGCATCTGTCGAAGGTAATCAGTTAGTTCAGAAGCCTGAAATTTTTTAATGATTTTTTTTGTTTAAAAAATTTTTCAAAATTAAAACTCACAGCATGATTTTTGCAGAAAAGAATCCCTTCTCTTAGCAGCTTCATTCTCTTTCTAAAATCCTTCTCTTTTTTGCTTTCTCTGGTTTTTTCGATTTCTTTCAATTTTACAACACCGGCACGCTTCATTTCAGTCTCTAACTGTGTCTTCCTTTTGCCAATGTCGGACATTTCCTGTTTGAACTGCTTCCTGCTCTCACTGTACCAACATTTGAGTTGGACAATCACTTGGCTTCGAGCATTAACAACAAAATCCTTGTTGTGTTTCCCAATATCCTCGATTGTTTGTGCTGAGGTGTTCAATTCTGTTGCGAGTTCCTCGTCCTTTTCGGCAAAGTTGGCGGCATATTCTCTTAGATGATTGCTTAAAGCAAAATGAGGTCCGACTCCACTCGCAGCCTTCTTCAAGAAAATATCATAGACCTCAACCAGCTTGCCGATTGCCCTTCTCATGGTGTTGAAATCTTCAATAAACTTCCTGTAGAGTTCATCAACCTCTTTGGTCGGTACCTCCTGTTTGCTACCTAAAATTTAAAAAAACGGGAATTGATCGAAGTAAAAAATAAAATACTTCGGCACGTACCTCGACACATCGGGCCAAATTAAATATCGTCACGTAGAAGCGAGTAGAGTAGAAATATGTTAAGTGGAAGTAGGGGAGATTAACTGTTTTTATTTTATGGCTTTTATACTGCCCAGTCTAAATTAATTTTTTATTCATATTTTTAGAGCTAAATATTTTATTTATGTGGAAAGATCGAGGCAAAAATGTTATTTCATCAATTAAAAAACTTATTGACAATTATGACCTTTATTCCAGAGAGGCTTTTTCAATTGCATTGGAGAAAGTGATACGAGATAAGCTGCTCCATGTCGGTAAATGTGTTAATTAATTTTTGACTTATAATTAAATTCAGGAGTGAATACCCACGACATTCTTCAGGCATATGCAACGATAATTGAATGTCTATCACAATATGATCCATCATTTGTTTTGGTGCACAGAATATGTAGAATTATCAGAGATTATGTCAAGTTAGTTTTTATATTTCTTTTTTGATTTTAGTTGTGGGCTCGGAATAGAGACCGGCGCGGGACGGGATTTCGCGCAGGATTTTGCGGGATCTCATCCTGCACTTTTTTCAATTTGCGGAGTACGGGATTTATCCCGCGTGATCCCGTCCCGCAAAGATTTTAAAAGTTACTTTCGCATGCGGGCCGGCCTCTAGTTCGGATTCTTTCATAGTCATCTTCAATAATTAATTAGAAATTTAATTTTTAGACAAAGACCCGATACTAAGCGGACAATAATTACATTTATTGCCATTGAGAAGCCTGGAGATAATTGTTTAACCTCAGATATTGCTGTAACTAATGCTAGTCGTTTAACGCTTATGCTAGAGGAAGAGCAACTCAATGGGTTTCTTTTAATTTTAAATTAAAATTTTACAGCCAATTTTAGATTAAATGATGAATACGTAATTATGATGTGTGACAACAGAGAAAATCGTTGGATGGATTGGATACCGGATCCAATTGATGCTGATCCAAGTAATTAACTTTAAATTTCTTTAACGTTTGATTCCCAAATTTTAGAAGAGAGCAGACTTTTCCGAGAATCCGCAGATGTTTTTAACATGTTGGTCAGTATTTACGGAAGCAAGGATCTTTTTGTTAAAGAATATCAAAATTTATTGGCAGAAAGGTTGTTATCTAATGGTTGGGAAAGGCATATACATTCAGAATTTACTTATTTGGAAACAATGAAAAGAAGATTTACGGAAGGAGAGTTAAATCAATGTGAGGTCTGTTTTGAATATTTTTATTTTTTACATCAAGTCTCTTTAGGTAATGATAAGAGACATTCGTGATTCTTGGAAACTTGCTAGATTTGCTGCCTCTTCCCTTCCATTCCCAGTGAGCCCTCGAATTGTTTCTTTTGTTTATTGGCCAGAAATTCAATCAAGCGACCTCGACAGCAATTTTCCATTTCATCCTCACTCAATTTTCAAAGATGCTCTTGATAATTACGAAAAAGTTTACATTCAACACAAAGCTGCTCGAAGTATTACTTGGCATTCTGATTTTGGAAGCCTAGTCGAATTGGAATTGGAAATCGATGAAAAAACTTTGGATATTGAATTACCTCTTCCTCAAGCACAAATTCTTTTTTTGTTTGCAGAAAAAGGTTTTTTTTTAATTTGAAACTTTGTTTAGAATCTTTTTTAAAGAAAAATGGATTATCTCAGAATTAGCTGAAAAAAGTGGTATAAATGCTACGCAATTAAAAAAGAGATTGGAATGGCTATGTTCGAAAGGTTTAATATTCCAAGGAGGTTTGGATGAAATTACGCTCGAGGAAACTTTTTGTCTTACTTCTTCCCCGTCTTCTATTCAGATTATGGAGAAACGAGTAACTCGTTTTATTTTAATTTTAAGAAAATATTTTTTAATTTCAGGATGAAGCTGTTATGTTGGACGATTTTAGCGATGATGAAGAAGAGGAGCAAAATTCAGTTGAAGATGTAGTTGAGGAATTGGAGCAATATTGGAATTACACAAAAAATCTGGTTAGTTGATTTTAAAAGGGTTGTTTTTGGGGAAGTTAGGAGATTCTTTTGATGGGGTTTTTAAGAGCTAGGGGTTTTTCCAACGAATCCATTATGACACATTACGTTTGGGGATGTTCTAGGGAATTCTACTTGCTGTTGTTGTTTAGGAGGATTTTAGAGGAAACATCTCAAAAAATCCTTAACGACGGGGGAATCTTTCTAATTTAATTTTAAAGCTAAAAATATTTACAGTTAATATATCGAACAACAAACGAACCTTTAACAGCTCAATATTTGCATAGAATGTTTAAAAACTTTACTAGCCCAGGAAAAACAATTCCTTCATTAGATGCAGTTCAGATGTTTATGCATAGAAAAGTTCGACAAAATTTGGTAATTATTGAGAATGGGGTTTACAAGGCAACAAAAGATCTCAAATAAAAGTTTGACTGTTTATTTTTTATTAAGAATTTTTTATAATAAAAATTTTAATTTTTCGTCCTTTTTTGTTCTTAAAATTGTTAATAGAACCTGTTATTTTTACATATTTTTTATTTTTAAATTTTTATTTTATTTTGATGTTTATTGGGTGAATTATGCAGCAAAAGAAGAGTGAAAACGAAGATACTGAGAGGAGTCTTTCAATAATAGAATCGGTTGGGATTTTAAATTTTCTTTTAAAATTATTTTTAAATTTAAAAGGTTTCAAAAGCTTTGACGCGAAGAAGTTGTTGGACAGACAAAGATGAATTGTTGGATGTTGTTTATTGGGGAAGGCAGATTCTTTCACTTGTAATTGGCTTGTTATGGGGGTTAATTCCTTTAAAAGGATTTGTGGCGCTTGTTCTTTATATTGGAACTTCAACGATTCTAGGTAATTAAAGGTTTTTAATAAAATTTAATTTGGGCTACTTTTATGAGTCACAAGGAAAGTTTTCGGACTAAATTGAAGTACTACTATTTTCGCTCTAAAAACGATTAATAAGGATATGGCTTTCGGGTCAAAAAATCATTCTACGAAGAATCTTGGTCGAAGCTTAATTAATTCAATTTTTAGGTCATCTTTACTTGACGTGGTATCAAGAGGTTGTTTTAAGCATTATAACGTTATATTTTAAAAAATTCCAGAAAGACGACGAAGATTTTGGTGGTTTCTGGGAAGTTGCGAAGGAAGGTTTTGGTGCAGCCTTTGCCACTTTTATGGTCTCCTGGGTAACTGCATATTCGGCCAGTCAATTTGAATAGATTTTTATACATATCGATTGTATTTTTATCCTTTTTTTGTTCTCAGATTTCGTTAGTTTATTGTTCCCGAATATATTGATAAACTTCAATTTAGTGAAAAAGTGGGATTTTATGGGGGAAATGCCTAGACGAAAGCTGATTTGTAGGTTTACATATATGTAGAAGGATATTTTCTATAAAAAAGGGTAATTTAAAAATTAGAGATAAAAATGAGAGAGTGACAAAAAAATCAGTAAAAGTCCCTCAACAATTTTTTCTGACCTGCATCCCAGAAGTAAGGTGTATAAAAATGACTAATAATTCAAGGTCAAGATTTTTAAAAATAATTTAAATTAACATTTTTAATTTTCATTATTTGCCATTCTATTAATTATCTTATTTTGGAACTCCAGAAATGATGGATTGTAACCATTAATAGCCAAGAAAATCTCTCCATTGACAGCCTGTAAGACATTAATCAACTTCTCAATTTTCTCGATCATTTTTGAAGCTTGCTTGTGAAACTGTTGAAGCTGTCTTTGCTTTAATATTAAAAATTTTTAAAATTTATTCTAAAATTTTAGTTTAAACAAGATAATAGAGTTGATAAAATTTTTTTAATCATCCCCCACCTTTCACGGAATCACCTTCTCCCTCTCATATAATAAACCGCAACTTTAGGTACTCTAAAATTTTAACTGACCTCTGCAATTTCATCAATTTCGGTAATATTGAAGAGTACAGACCCCATTTTTTCCTCCCTATTTTTCACCCTATATTTTTACAAAATGGTCAGACTTTTTCCTTCCTTCCATCCAATTTGCCTTTCTAATTTGTGCCTAAATCAAACGAAAAGGATTATTTTTGATTCATGGATGGAAGAAATTGGGTTGAAGAAAGGAAAAAGTCTGACCATTTTGTAAAAATATAAGGGGAAAAATAAGGAGGAAGAAATGGGGTCTGTACTCTTCAATATTACCTCAATTTCTGCCATTTCGCCAACGTTTAGAATATCAAACCACCCATTAATTATATTTTTAAGAGTGGTGGAGAAATGTTTTGATTCATAGGCAACCATATAACCAGGACATAATAAGGCTTAAATAATTAATTTTTAACAAGATTTTTTTAAAAGTTTAATACCCCCAAAAAGTCCAGCGAGTCTATGTCTTAAGTTTGATAAAGAATTAAGATCGTTTATTGCTAATAATGGTTTCCAATTTTTTAAACAAGTATTTGCTGATTGAGAAAGTTGTTGTAACTAAAATTATAAATGGAAAGGTCTTAAGGAAAGACTTACTTGATAAGGAATTTTCTTGATGAAAATAATTTGTCTACTTTGCTTTTTAAATAAAAAAACATCAAAATACAGAGAGATTCTTAGTTCGGACCATCTTAAGTTGATTGGTAAATTATCAATAATTTCTGGCAGTAATTCAGGTGGAAGTGATTTTCTTTCGGTTTTCATATTTTTAGGAAAAAATATGCACGTCTAGAAATTTTATAAAGAGATTACGACGTAAAATATATATTTATGTCCTCTAAACGTTGGAAGACTCTAAAGACGACAATTAAAGTATAGGTTTTGTTGTGACTACCTGGTTTGTTGTAAACTTAAAAAGCTAATATAAGAATAAAAAATTGCTCAACTATCCTAACTTAATATTTAATCAGAAAAGAGTAGAAAAATAACACAGATCAGCCTAGAGGCGAGAAACTGTAATATTAACAAACTTAAAGAAATCCTAATTAATTTTTATCAAAACAGAAAATATCTCAACAAATAAATACAACAATATAATGGCACTTTTAAATGAGTATCACACTTTAACATTTTCACCGACTATATTTAAATTAACAAAAAAACCTTTCTAACTGGCCAAAAGCAACAACTATAGAACTAAAAATATTTTTTATAAAATAATTTTAATAAAATTACCCAAACATTTAGACTAATCCAAAAGAACGCTTCAATTCGAATGTGAACACAATAGGTTCAGAAGATCGAATTCGAAGTTGTTGAGGCTTAACAATTTTGTTTGAGCTACTAACACAATGTCCATAATCCAATTTTGTTTCCTCTAAAAAGAAAAATTTTTCTCTATTAAAATTATAAAATTAACTAAGTTCCCATTTAAACCCTTCCGTTGTCACCAAAGTACGTCTTTGCACAAGAGGAATGAGACCACAGGTGCCGGTAATTGGCTCTTCCAAAAGTTCAATGTTTGTATCACTCTGGTGGGAAAAATTTTTTGAAAATTAATTTTGTAAAGAAAAATTGCTGGAAGATTGAGAAAAACACAACGTTTAAATTTAATTTAGACCCCCCCTCCGAATTGTTATCGAAAAAATTCTTTGATTAATAAAAATATCTGAGTTCAGATGTGACAATTAAAGAGCAGAATAGAAGGTAAAATTCAAGTTCACTCCCCCTCTTTTTCTTTCCTTAATTTGTACACAACGGCTAGACTTTCTTTCATTAAAATGAAACATTTTCTTATTAATGTCTCTCATTTAAATGTGCCACAGAAAAATAGAGTGGAATTGAGGAAGAAAGTCTGACCGTTGTATACAAATTAAAGAGGGAAAGGGGGGGGGAACTTTAATTTTACCGAATAGAATATTATTTTTCAAATTGGGACTAACAAGATACCAGCCCGAATTATGACCAAAAATAAAACATTTAAAGGAGAGGGATGATCCCTTATAAAAGAATACCATAAAATTCAAAATACCTGTTGAACAATCATAACAACATTTGTACCATCCAAAAGATAAATAGGAATTGAGGGAACTCCTTGAATCTAGACAAAATCAAATTTACTAAAAAAATATTTAAAACAAAACCTGCAACATCATTGCATTAAAAGTTCCCATAACGTGATCAAAACGTCCTGTAAGTCCACCCAGAACCAAAATAGCAGCCAACGGTTTATCAACAAAAAAACTACCCGCCTTTTTTTAAATTAATTTTTAAAGAAAAATTAAAAAAAAACCTTTTGCATTAAAATCCCAATAGTTTTAGTTAAATCCGTCGTGTTTTGGTCATCAATTTTTAACACTTGACAGTCCTTTTGCGACTCAAAATATTTTTTGCTCTCTTCTGTGATAGAGTCGAAATCACCTACAACCAAGTCTGGATTTTTTGTTTTGGTAGACCTGAAAAAATAATTTTTTACTAAAATTAGGTATTTAAAAAATTCCAAAGAAAAGAAAATAAAAATCCCAGAAAACCAAAAAATTGTAAGAGGAGAAAGATTAAAAAGAACAAGAAATTCTTTCGACTCCACTCAGAAAAATAAAATCTCTCGGTAATATCGAAGCGTACAGACTCTCTTTTTTCCTCCCCAATTTTCCCCATATATTTTTACAAAATAGTCAGACTTTTTCCTTTCTTCCATCCAATTTGCCTTTCTAATTTTTGTCTACAATCAAACAAAAAGGATTATTTCCGATTAATAGATGAAAGAATATTGGATGGATGAAAGGAAAATGTCTGACCATTTTGTAAAAATATATAGGGAAAATAGGGGAGGAAAAAGGGGTTCTGTATTATCAATCTCTCGGTCTAAAATTTATTTTACAAAATTTCCAAACAAACTTGCAAGACTCCACCAAATTATTAGCAGCCCCATCAGTGCACAATCTAAGTTTGGCACTATTCCAAATAGTAAACCATTCATTCGGCAAAACCGTTTTTGGACCATCCACAGCAATAACAGCTAATTGGTCTTTAAAAAATAAATTTAGAATATTTTTTAAAGATTTTCAGAAATTATTTAAAATAAAAAATAACCAGCATTTTGTCGGACAAAATCAAAAGGCTTAAACAAACGAGAAACCATTTTTAACTAAATTTATCAAAAATACCTAAAATGAAGAGTATATATAAGTAGGTAATTGTTAAAAGTAATAAAATATTAATGATAACAAAAATAAGAAAAAAAGATTAACTGATAAAAATCCAAAAAACGAAAAAGTAGAAAAAATATAAAAACATTTTTCCGCAAATTTTTAATGTTTGGCATAACGTTTATGATAAATGACAATTCATCCTCTTTTTAGTTTTCCCTCATAATACCGTCTACTTTTACTTGAATTCCTCTTTAGAAGGTGTTAAATTGGGTGACACGACTCGGGCACAGTAATCCATTTGCAAAGTAAGACTTTTGCACAGAGGGCATCTGCACAGTGGACGATTGCACAGTAATTTGTGGTTAAGTGGATTTGTGTTAGGTTTTACTTATTGTTATAAGGGAATAAATGTTACTAATTATTAATACCTTTACTAAAAAAATCTTAAATTGTATTAGAATTCATAAGAAAAATCTGTAAATCACATAAAGGATCAAATGAATAAAAAATCTAACTGAACATAATTATTGCCCCGAGTCTTAACAACATTTTTTAAACAAGAAAAAACTTTTTGGATACGTACCCCTTTTAAAAAATCTGTTATCTTTATTGACTGTATTTAAATTTAGAAGAAAGCATTTTGTTATTAAGAAACTTATTAGAAAGTAAATATTTATCATTAAAAATTAGTAAAAATTCATTTTTACAACAAATACTTGCACTCTTTAATAAAGATCTGCTAGAATTTCTCCACTTGATAAGCGAACAAAAATTTAGAATATGTAAAAAAGAATTAGGAAATACTTAGGTTAGAAAAAGAATTATGAATTCTAATACAATTTAAGATTTTTTTAGTAAAGGTATTAATAATTAGTAACATTTATTCCCTTATAACAATAAGTAAAACCTAACACGAATCCACTTAACCACAAATTACTGTGCAATCGTCCACTGTGCAGATGCCCTCTGTGCAAAAGTCTTACTGTGCAAATGGATGCCCGAGTCGGAGCGCCGTTAAATTGAATTTTAAATAAATTTTTTTGAAATTTTTTTTGTCGATGAAGGAGATATATAGAACTTTGTTTCTTTTTTATTTTCTATCGACATTAATAGATATGTTTATAGGAATTTTTGTAAATTTTTCAGACCACTCCTAATGTCGAAAATTTAAAATGTGCCATTTTTTTTTGAAAAAGTGAAAAATTGAAAATTATTTTATAAAAAATTTAAAAAAAATGGTTTTTTCGCTCGGGTCTTTTTAAGAGCATTTTATTGAGCAAATCTAATTACAAAAAAATTTTTAAACAAAATTGACACTTTTCCGCTGAGCTAGGTCGAAAAAACATGATGTGCCATCTTTTTGAAACCCAGTGTATGTATATTCCTTTAAATTTTAATAATTTTAAAAATATTTTTAATAAAATAAAGTCTATTAAATAAATTATATTTTCAATACAAAAATATTATTTATTTCCCCCTTCTTTAATAGTCGTTGATCGAGAAATTTGGAAGAAAAAAATATTTTTTTTCTTTAAATGTTAAATTGGATGAAGAGCAAAGAAGTATATTTTCTTCTTTTAGACATTTCCAGAGATTAGATCAAACAAAAAAATATTTTTATTCTTTCAATCTTGCGCGGTGATAAATCGCTAAATGAGTGGAAAGAAAAGGGTGTAAAAGTCAATGAAAAATAAAATGTTTTGCAGTTTCTTTTGGTTAAATAAACGATTAAAACCAAACATTATTATGTGTACTACTAAATATTTATTTAATTTTAATTAATAAAATACTCCGGATTTGTAAAATTGAGTAGAAAATTTTTTTAAATTTTTGTTACAGTTTTTAAAAATCAGTTAGAATTTATAAAAGGTGAAGAAATTCTTGTTATTAACTATATTAGAGCAATGTATTTGATGTTTTCTTTAATAACCTCCGAGTAGAGCTGTAAAAACGTTTTGTGGCCGTCCCTAATTAGAACCTGAAAACTTCACCTATATCAAGTTAACATCCTTTAAAGAATACGGCGGTGCGTTGCAATAACGTTGCAAAGAATAACCTGCTTCCAAATTTCCGAATTTTAACAAATTTAGTATTAAACGATTCCTCTCATCAAGCTAAAGAGATTGGTACCAAAATTGATAAGGGCCAGAAATTTTCCAGTTATTTATGGCTTTTGGGCGTGTCCCCCTTTCTATAATGTTGCTAATAAATATTTTTTTAATTGAAATTTATATTTTTACAATAATTGGATTTTTAAAAAATTTTTTTTAATAAAATGTTTAAGCATATAATTAAAAAATTTCTTCTTATTTTAAAGGCTTTTTGAAAATTTTAAAATAAATTCTAATAAAAAATTAATGGAAGATCAAATAATATCTCCAATTGAAGAAGACGAAGTTGAACAAAATAAACAAGAAAATAAAGAAATTGAAGAAGAAATTCAAAAATTAATTGAAAAAGAAGAAAATAATTTAACTAATTTTGAATTTATGGAGGTTATGAAACCTCTATTATCTTCAAATAACAAAAATAATAATCCTCTTCCTCCTCCTCCAAAACCTTTAAGAACATCTTTAAATAGAAGAAATAGAAGTGATCGGCTAACTGTGAGTTTTTTTAAAAGTTTTTAAACGATTTTTGTAATTTTTGTGTTATCCGAGAGGATCTGGGGGGTTTTAGGAAATATTTAAGGCATGGGAAAGGCCAAAGGCCTTTTTTTAAATTGGTTTTGGGGTGTGTAGGGAAGCTAGTTTATATTAAAAATTAAATTAAATATTAACAACATTTAGTTAATTTTTGTTTTAAAAATTTGTAGATGAAAACTTCCAAAAAATGTTCCCTTTTTAAAATTTAATATCACTTAAAAGTACGTGAATCTCATTAAATAAGAAAAAGTTCATTTTAAAAATGTTTTAATTTCTCTACAAAAATTAACAAAAAAACTTTAAACTTCCTCGAATTTAGCTTAAGGAGGTATTTACGAGCAACAAGGTTTTCTTGTAATCGGAAATTTCTTTGTAATTTTAATTTGTAATTATGTATTATGTCAAACATTATTGAGTAGAATCTTGGTAAAAAAGATTTTTTTAATTTTTCAATCCTCAGAAAAATGTAATTAAATTATTTTTTGAACAAAAACTTTTTAAAAATACGGAAAATCACCGGGCATCAAATACTAACAGGTATTCTCCCATTCATTCATTTTTATTTCAGCAGGATCCCTTCTATCGAAAAGCCTACTAATAATTAACTTTTCACATTATCTTCAATCTTCATTTTTTACTTTATTTTAATATTTTTTTCTAATAATAACCCCACAAATATAACACTTACTCTACAAAAATATGTCCTTCACATTTAACATAACCCCCATAAAACTGATCGATTCTCTCCCCCCTTTTATCTAGCCTATTTTTCATTTGCAAGAAAAAAGGGATATAAAAAAATTAATTTTTTTCTCCTTTCAACTAATTTTTACAATTATTTTCTATTTAATCTTTAATTAATATTAAAAAAAAGGTGAAAGGAATTGTCGATTTGCTGCAAAAATCTCTTCTTCTTCTCTTCAAAAGCATTTTTCAGTCATTTAAATGGTCTTCAGTCAAAAATTGAACAGAAGAAGAGGAAATGGGGCTTTTTGTTTGTGGTGGGGAAGAGACTGAAAAATAAAATTTTTTTTGAAAAAAAAGAATTAGTCAATCTCTCCCCGCGATTTTTCTCTCAACAATTTTCTCTCTTTTCTATTATTTCCAAGTATTGAGTAAAATTTTTATTAATTTTACCGGAAGTAAAAATAAATTTACCTATAGAAATTTTGTTTTTGAGATTTTTTAAATTTTTTAGAGAAACTGCAGACTTTTAAGAAAATTTAGGAAGAAAAACTGCCCAGCTTTTCCCAAACATTCTTGATCTTAAGACGTTAGGATACAACCTTATGCCCTAAAAAACAACATAAAATAGCCAATTTATTTTCTATATTCGTAAAATTTTGTACGTATCTCTCTAATATTGCTACTCTAATCCTCTAAAAATTTCAGAATTTTTGGTTAATTTTTTCAAAAATTATAACCCATAAACTCAAATTTTAATAAACTTCGCGCCCAAATAATTCCGCGCCCAAACAACCCCTTCATTAAAAAATTTTCTGTTTTTCTCCATTAAATTAATTCATTTCAAACCTGAAGGTTAATGTAATAAATAGATTAAAATCAGCTAAAAACATTCTTTTCATTTTAAAGTCAGCAAAAAATGAAAAATAGTATTTCGATAAAATCAGAAAATACTTCCCTCTCCTCCCGAAAACAACACCATCCCTCATTTCTTGTAGTTTCCGGTTCTTTCCGTTGGTTTGGAACTTCAACTTCTCGCAATGAGGTAAACAAACATTTTTATTTTTCGATATTATTCTAGTATTTACTAGAAAATTGACATATGTATTTACTTTGTAGTTATTCAAATTAGAGGTCGGCAAAATCACATTTGCAGGATTTCGAACAGAACAGGATCCCTGGGATTAATCTTAAAAATCCTGAAAACTGAAAAAAAGGCAGGATTTCGGACAGGATTCTGTCCTGCGCCGACCTCTAATTCAAATGGGCGTTCTGCCCCAAAATTCTCAGATTCCTAAAGCAAGGTTGGCTTAAATATCCTTACTAGGTCCCTAAACCTACGATGTCTTTAAGTTTTTCTTTTATACTTGTCTTGGAATTTCTAAAATCAGATAACATCAGATTTGTAATCACACACCTCCATGTTTAAGCGCGAAATATTTAAGCTGAGATGAGGTGTTATAGATTGGGCTAGAATTGCCTCAAGCAAAATTTAATTATATTCCTCTTTTTTGGTAAATGGCCCATCAAATTTAAACATAAAACTTGTGTTTGTGACCTCAGGCAAGTTTAGTCAAGGAGTTACCTAAACATTAAGGTTCCTAAATTTTAAGGAGAGAAGAATAAACTTTTTATAAAAAAATTTAAACCATATTTTTCTTCACTTA